TCTCTCTCTCTCTCTCTCTCTCTCTCTCTCTCTCTCTCTCTCTCTCTCTGTCACTGTCTGTGTCTCTGCCTCTCTTTCTCTCTCCTTTCCTCTCCCCCTTCTCCTCTCCCTTCTCTTTCTTATTTCTTTGAAACAAGATCTTACTAAGTCACTAGGTTTCCCAGGCTGGGTTTCAACTTACAATCTTTCTACCTCAGGCTTCCAGACTGTGGGTATTACAAGTGACTGTAACAGTCACTGTGCCTAGCTTCCATAGCCTTTCTGAACTCTGCTCTGAGCCAGGCAATGGGCAGGAGGCTGATAATAAGCTGAGGCCAGACAGATATCAAGTCCAATTGGAGCTCCCAAGAGAGGAGACAATACTTATGCAAACCTCATCTCTGAGCCCTTTTCCACTTAAGTAAAATGTCTTCTATGAGGATTAAATTATAGAGTGTGAGACACTGCAGGAACCCAGGATACAGTCCACAGATACACACTCTAACTATCGCTATGACTGGTGATAGTCACACCTCAGCAGGCATCAGCAAAGCAGCCGAGGAATGGCAGCAAAGCTCAGCCTAAGGAGTTGACCAGGTGCACCACACTGAGGAGGTGGCTTGAGTGCTCTTCATTGGCCGCTGGGAAGATAAGATGAGCTGACGTGATGCATAGGTGTGATGGTAGGAGAGGGGCATGTGAGCCTCCGTGGAAAAGTGAGCAGAGTTGCAGGTGATTTGGATCCACCAGACAGATGCTCCTACACCAGGACAGCTTCTGTCCTCAGAGCCCCAGGCCAACTGATGCAGCTTTGGCCACTCACCCTGCTCATCACCACAAGAGAATGATCATTGCTAGGCCATGCTAATCCTGTCTTGATCTGCTTCCCACTTTCGCCTAAACTCACCAGCTCCATCCCAGGCCCGGCCCATGTTCTCTCTGTCCAGAACCACTGAAAACTGCCCACATCTGTCCTCAGGCCTGGCCTCTGCCTCCTGCTGGCTCCTTGCATTCATTCTTTGCCATACTCTACAGCAATACATCTGAAATGTCACTGTAACTCTTCTGACCCCAAATCCTCTGACTCTTAGCACCTGAAACAGTGGTTCTCAAGAGGATCCTAATGGCCAGAAAACTTTTTATCTATTATGTATCTGGAGGGAATCAGGATAGTATTGGCATCTGGTGGGTCAAGGTCAAGGTTGCTGCTAGTGTACAAATGCACAGGAAGTACTCACCCTGCCCCAATTTCTCCAGCAGGAGTTATCCAAACTCAAGTCAAAAGCATCAAGATTGTGAAATTCTGGTCTCAAAGACACACATGTGAGTCTTTCAGAATCTGGGGTCTGTCATAATCTGCCCCTGCTAAGTTCATCCCTACTTTGCCACACCCTGCCCTTTGCTCCTGGCAGTATAAAGTTACTTTCCACAACCGTCAGATGCTCTAAGCTCTGGGCATTAGGACCTTCTGTTCTTGAGCCAACAATGCATCCACAATCTAATTTGCAAGACTGAAAAACCTTGTCTTGCTGTCTCCACTCAAAAATCACCCCCAACTTAGACCCTTCCTG